ATCTGCCTGAGCGAAGACCCGCGGATGCGCCTGCAGGCCTCATCGCTCATGTCTCTCTTCCCCGGGCCCACGGACGGGGACGATGTGGCCCCTCCATCCATCTCGGTCGATGACGGCTACTCCATGCAAGAGTACTTTGTAGACGGCTACAACAGTCGGGGGAGGGTCAGGACCGTGCAGCCATCCCAAGACTGGGCATACGTCAACATGGGGCCCCAGCACGGAAACCCGAACGGAGGGTTCTCCCAGGACCCCTATTACTACACCAGAGGTCGATCCCCTCCGAGCCCTCTCCCGAGCCACTACGCCGGGTGGGCTGGTGCTAAGAACATTGCGCCTTCATACAGCGACATCGGGGCCGACGAGGTTGAGGAGCCTAAGAGCGCTACGCCGACGACCAGCAAGGACTCTGTCGCGACCCCGGAGCCGTTGGAAGAGACGAGCAGAGCCATGCAGCAGAAGCTGGAGGAGCTGCAGTTCACGCCAATGTCCCTGCCGCCCTTGGACGAAGTCGAGGTCGACCATACGCCGATTCAGGAGGACACCAAGCTCGTGCATGATGAGCTTGCTCAGGTGCTGTCCCGACAGGAGCAGGCGGACCCGCGCACCCCTGCGGACCCGGTCGACATACGGACGGCGGTGGCGAGCCCCATGACGATCAAGGACGACGCTGACGCGGGTAACGACACGGAGGACGAGAGGTTCAGCACCGAGGACGAAAACGAAAAGGAGGAAAGAGAGCAGCAGCAGCGGGGGAAAGTAGCACAAGGGCAATCAGCGCCCGAAGAAAAGGGGTCCACAGAACCCAAGGACCAAACGGACAGGAACGATCATGTCTTGGGGGCAGAGAAGGACGTTGCAGCTCGTAGAGACGTGGCAACGAAGCCGATCACCACCCCGCCTTCTGGGGAAGCTCCACCACTCGCTCGTTCGGAGGCGCGGCCGGAGACCGAGAAGGGCTCTGCCGCCGCCGTCGAAACTCGGCCGGTCTCAGCGGAACGAACATCTGCCGGAAGTATCACCAAAGCCGAGGCCCCGGAGCTCAAGGGGGTTGGAGGGGCGCATTCGGGCGGAGACGAACGAGTGGTGCACGAGAAGGCGTCCTACGATGAAGACTTGGCATTTGGCGATGATTAGCACAACAGCGGCGACGATGACGACGATATCGACAGACGTTAGCATGTAACACCAGCAAGAGGTTGGCATTTACAGGCGACTTTGCATGAAGGAGGCAACTTGTATTCCGGACACTGGAGGTATTTTTTTTTTTTTTTTTTTTCCTGTTTTGGCGATGGCACCATATTTTCCCCAGCATAGCATCGGTGTAGATCCTTGAGGACCATGTATGTGTAATAGATGGTTGTGTGGCACCAGACCGGCTTTTCCCACAAGCCAGCATTGGCGAGAGTGAAACTCCGAGCTTGCCTTTTGGTCTTTGTCAAAGTGAATCCCGGGCTTTCGGAAACCTTGCAACAGACCACAGTTTGTCCCTGCGTGAGGTGTGCGGATCATGAACAGGAGTAGAGCAAATCAGACGAGACTGAGCCCTTTATCAAAGCACTCGCGGTTGCCAGAAATTCTCCGAGATCTGGACGGATGAGACTGAGCCCTCGATCCAAGCACGCGCAGCTGCAACCACTCCTCCGGATCTTGCCATGTAACGGCCGAGCAGAGCGACCCAAGCTGACGGAAAACTTCAGTATTAGAGAGGTGGCGAGTCAAGCAGTCAGAGCTCACCTCAGAGCTCTGTGAAAGCTTCCAGCTTGGGAGCTTGGGGCGCTTTAACTCGGAGGCGGCTAGCTCCCGCGGCAAAACGTTTGGATGAGAGGAGCGATGGAATGACAGGGCGGGTCGGGTGTGGCGTCGGCCAAGTCCTAGAGGGAGCGCCTTACCATATCGGGTTAGCATGGAAAGGTTCCAGAAGGGCGAACCTTTTCTCTCACTCAGGGCGAAGGGCCTCTGCGTCTGCGAATCGTTGATCGTGAGTCTCGTCTCGAAATATGGTTATCTAATCCACCACGTGACCAATCGTTAGCCACCACCATGAAGGGGGCAGAAGGGGATCGCGATGGCCAGTGATGGGCAATGGAAATCCACAATGGAGAGAAGAAGAGCAAGCAACCTCGGGATGGCGGGCAAACGACACCTGTGATCCCTGCCATGTCCTGCAGCTCTGGGGCGGAGGTTTGCGGGGCAGGGTCCTGTTTCTGTTGGGGATGTGCCGGGATGCCGAAGTGGGATCTGGGTCGTCGTCTTTTTTTCAGTAAAAAAAGATCGTCGAACGTAAGCGAAGTTCATGACGGAATGGGCCCGGCTTTGGGGCGGTTGTGAATGTCACAGGACGGCCGATCGAGGGGCTGCCGAGGTCAAGGAGGGATTGCATGCATCTGTCATTGATGGACGCTCACGCCGCCGCTTTCTTGTGAGAACGAACCAAATTACCCGCGTAGTTGAGTTCCACGAGACCGTTGTCGCGGCGATAAGGGAGAGAGTGACAGGTTCCCTGCCCAAGTGGAGGCGCCCTACCACAGCAGAGCTCGGAGGCAACGTGAGACCTTCGTCACTCGATGGAGCTTTAGTGGGGAACATGTTGAGGGAGAGCAAACGAACCGCCACCGCCGATTCAGACTACTCTGTTGGTTCGTTGTCGCCTCCATTCTCGCGGTGTGTTCTGTCTCTGCGCATGATGCGGCGGGGGCCTAGACAAGAGGTCGATTGATCGGTCAGTCTGAGACAGCGGCTTGAAGCTTGTAACTGGGTGAGTCGCCTCAGTCACTTTTGGCGCGATCCCGACTTTTTCCTGCCGCCCCCAAGAAGGGACATGAGGATGGCCAGTTCTCGTCCGATGGAGCAGCGGTAAGAGATTGTTGAAGAGAATGAATGGTGGTGTCTGTCAGAAAGGCAAGCAGCTGCAGAAACAGAGCTACTGCATAGGGCAAGACGGGAGATGTCACTGTAGGACAAGGCTCGAGGCGTCTCTGCTTGCCTTGTCTCGTCTGTCGAACCGAGGCGTTGCTGGTGAGAAGCGGCGGTTTCAGATATCGCCACTTGGACGAGACGGCATTTGGGGATGTGTATCACAGAATTGCGATGCGATGCGGTGTTTGCAGGGAGAACCGGGCCAGGCCAGCCATGCCAACGGGCACTGTGAGTTGTGAAGTTCTCCCAGCACAGGAAGCTCTCTCTTCAGCCCTCAGCCCTGGGGGAGTCGTGGAAAGAATGCAGATTGGGGTGGTGTGGGTGTGGATGGGCGTTGCCCGATGAGGTAAGGTGGATTCCAGCCGCCCATCCGCCCCGCCCCAGCGGCGACCACATGGCAGGGGTCAGCCCCCGTCCCGTCCAATCAAGGACCCGTCATATTGAAAAGCGTTGGGGAAGTTGTTGGGAGCCGGGGCCTCTTTTTTTTCTTCTTTGGACCGCATCTCGTGCGTGCTTGCCAGTTATTCATTGCAGATTGACAACCTCCCACCCTCACTACGGCGCAGAAAAGGCACAATGTGTACTTGCCTGCAACCCCAGAGCCCCCCTCCCCCCGACAAGGCACCAAAAAAGCCAGCCAAGGTGTGACCTGATCTGGGGCCGTCAATCGTCTCATCCTCGGCTGTGCGGAGAGATCCTGCGCTCAAGAAGAGCCCGAATTTGCTTCTGATCCCCAAGCCTCGAGTCGGAGATGGCATGTTTTCGAGCCGTCATGGCCGTGTTTGATGACATTTGAACGCTTTTTGTTGGCTCCTTGGGGATAAGGGTCCTCTGAGGGGATCTGAATAGTTGAATCTGGCCGTCGTGGTCCCTTCCCCCAACGAAGACTACCTAAGAGAGATGGGCCAAGATTGCTCAGATCATGCTGTGCACTTGCTGCTGCCGCTACGCATGGGCGTGAGGTTAAGGTCGAGGCCGTGACAGGTAACAGACGGACCGACGGAGCAGCCAGCGGAGGGAAGGGAGGGATTCCTGGATTCAGAGCAACGCCGGCAAGCGACGTGGAGGTTTAAGCAGAGAAGGTGATGATTTGGCAATGGCTAACACGGGCTAGGTAACTGCTATCATGCAATGCAGCTACTGTGATGTAAGATGGGTGAAGGTCACTTCCTATTACGATCCGCTCTACACCACCAATTGGCACATCTGCAAGGGAAGCCGCGGCTGGTACCTTTCCGGCGGTGGCAGGTGTGCGAGATACAACCACAACCACGACTGGCCACTTGCATTCTTGCCTCGCGGTTTGTCTACCGCAGTATGTACTTTGCCAGCAGTTCCCGCCGGGAAGGTAGACAGGCATATCAGCATCTGGCCGCTGCTCGGGATACACGCACACGCGTCTCTCAAGGCACGGTGCCTGGGTCACTCTTCGGTGAAGTGCGGCGGCGGGGACGGGACCTGGGAAACTAGGTGGTCCAACGGGAAGCTTCTTCGTCGCTGTGCCTCCCCATCTGCCCATTTTCTTTGCAAATCCCGGCCAGGTCCAAGTCCCGCCAGCAAGTCAAGTCAAACCCCACGACCCACGGTGCATTTGTCTTTGCATTTTTGGCTGATTGTGATTGCTGGTCCTGACCTGATTGATTCACCAACACCCACCCGCACCCCCCCCCCCCCCCCCCAATCCCCACCACCCCTCCCACCCTTCCACTTCCCACTCAACTCGTTTGCTGGGATTTTTTGATCCTGGTGGGTGGCGGACAACTCGCCCAAAGGTACCCCGGCCTCCGTACTCCGTACCTTTTTTCCTCCTTGCTGGGGCCTGGTCAACTATCTGATATCCCTTTATATAACTCCCGGCTCTTCAACCCCCCTTCCTCTCTTTCTGATCTTCGTCTCCAGACTTGCCCTCAAACCCAAAGTCCATCGCCCGCCTGGCTTTTGGACACCGACCTTGTTGTTGTGTGGACGTTGCTTCGACCACAAGGCATACCGATCGTCTCCGGCTTAGACAGCCCCGGAGTCCCTCGACTTCCGAACAGATCCGACGACCTCCCCAGTGAAGCCCGTTGGCTCTCATCAACATGTCGGCGGCAACTTCGTCCTCGGCCGCGAAGCCCAAGGAGGTTTCGGCCTTCCCTGATGGCACCAGCGACTACGTTCCCGTCCGTGCCTCCAAGGCTTACGACACCAAGAAGCCTCATATGTGCGTCCTGGCCACAGCTGGTTGAACTACCACTCGCTAACTTTCACACAGTTCTACCCAGCCCATCACCTGGGGTAACTGGTACCAGCACGTCAACTGGTTGAACACCACCTTCATTCTGGTCATCCCCTTGGTCGGCCTCATCTACTCCTACTGGGTCCCTCTCCAGTGGAAGACCGCCGCCTTCGCCGTCATCTACTACTTCAACACCGGTCTTGGAATTACTGCTGGATACCATCGCCTGTGGGCTCACCGCTCCTATAAGGCCAGCCTGCCCCTGAGAATCTACCTTGCCGCCGTCGGCGCTGGTGCTGTTGAGGGTTCCATCCGTTGGTGGTCTCACGGCCACCGTGCTCACCACCGCTACACCGATACCGACAAGGACCCCTACTCCGTTCGCAAGGGTCTCCTCTACAGCCACATCGGCTGGATGGTTATGAAGCAGGACCCCAAGCGCATGGGCCGTACCGACATCTCCGATCTCAACGAGGACCCCGTTGTCATGTTCCAGCACATCCACTTCATCAAGTGTGTCATCGGCATGGGTGTCGTTTTCCCTACCCTCGTCTGCGGTCTCGGCTGGGGTGACTGGATGGGCGGCTACATCTACGGTGGCATTCTCCGCATCTTCTTCGTCCAGCAGGCTACCTTCTGCGTCAACTCCCTGGCCCACTGGCTCGGTGACCAGCCCTTCGACGACCGCAACTCACCGCGTGACCACGTCATCACTGCCCTCGTCACTCTCGGTGAGGGATACCACAACTTCCACCACGAGTTCCCCTCCGACTACCGCAACGCTATCCAGTGGTGGCAGTACGACCCCACCAAGTGGAGCATCTGGATGTGGAAGCAGCTCGGCCTCGCCTCCGACCTGAAGCAATTCCGCCAGAACGAGATTGAGAAGGGCCGTGTCCAGCAGCTGCAGAAGAAGCTCGACCAGAAGCGCGCCAAGCTCGACTGGGGTGTTCCCCTGGAGCAGCTGCCCGTCATCGACTGGGACGACTTCGTTGCTCAGGCCAAGGGCGGACGCGGACTCGTTGCTATTGCTGGTGTCATCCACGACGTTACCGACTTCATCAAGGACCACCCCGGTGGCAAGGCTCTCATCTCTTCCGCCATTGGCAAGGATGCCACTGCCACCTTCAACGGCGGTGTCTACCTCCACTCCAACGCCGCTCACAACCTGCTCTCCACCATGCGTGTCGGTGTCCTGCGTGGTGGCTGCGAGGTTGAGATCTGGAAGCGCGCTCAGTTCGAGAACAAGGACATGACCTATGTTACCGACTCGAACGGTCAACGTATCACCCGCGCTGGCGACCAGGTCACCAAGGTCCAGCCCCCTGTTGCCAGCGCTGACGCTGCATGAACGAGATGATGGATGGTAAAATTTAATGACTTGGGAGGGTTGTTTCGAACCAACGAGGCGGTGATGTGGGAGCTTCGAACTTTCACTTCAGACAGCAGATCCGGGCCAACAGGCTTGGGCTGCTCTCATAACGACCATCGCGTCGTTATTGGTGTTTCGCCTTGACACTCATTCCATCCGCTATGGTTGAGCAATGAGTGGCAGCAGCGGCCGACCTCACAATTATGGGTATCATTAGGGCGTTTGCGGGGTCGGGCATCACGGAAGGCGTTCACTTGCAGTTCATTGAAGCTGTTGCTTAGAATAGAAAACAGGAAGCCCATCAGAGGGCGAGAATGAATATGCGAGAAACCTATTTTAACTTATCGTTCCGTTACTCTGTCATGTTCACGACCATAATAAAGCGCAGGCAACCACGAGAGTGCAGTCCCCGAGACCGATTGTAAACTTGATGTTCACGGGTCAGTAATGGCGTTGTACAAGCCAGCAAGAAGCGTCGTTCAGACAGCCTGAACAACCTCGTCAACCACCCTGCCCAGAGCCGCAATCACATGTTTGTATCCGTCTCGGCGGTACTGTACCTCTTTAATAATGGAAAGACTCGCTTGAGCCCGTCCCGCAATCCGCACGCGGCAAGACCAGGGCACACGATAAGGCTTGTCTCGGGCTGGCGCCAAAGGTGCCCTTCAACTGCGGGACGGGGCCTGGAGCCTGAAGGTAAGAATCAGCAGAAAAAAAAGCCCGGTGTTGGGGCGGAGAGCCGGGCGAACGGCTCGGCCGCTGGCTTTCCGCACTTTGGGCTACCCAGGCGGCGGAAACTAGAAAAGATGAGTTATGCGACTACAACACTGCAACACAACGACTTTCCCAACAAAAATGGGGGGACGCTACAACACACAAACTCCACAATAAGAGACACGCGCATATGATGCCACCGAGGAAACAGCACTCGTTCAAATGATATCGAAACACATGCAAAATGTACGCAGTACACATGATAACTGACCCACCTCTCAAAGCCACTTACCCGCATGTTGATATGCCTCGGGTGTGGTTATCAACAACCACGTTGGACAGGGATCGCTCTGGACACCACATCCCCGCGGCTCCTTTCCCGCCCCTCCTCCAAGCTCAATATCAACATCATCAGTGCTGACGACCAGCAGTATGTGACACGCTTCGAGCCTTCTCAAGTTGCCACATGGTCGTTGCGATGCCTCGGACATGAGGGAAACACGTGGGTTAATGTACGTAAATTGCAAGGGAGGCACTTTTGCCATCAAAACTATCGAGTGATGCAGTGTGCGTGTCCCTCCTTCAAAGCAGATGTACCTCCTCGACTGTGATGTTACCGCCTCAGCCGGTCTAATGCAATTCTAGAACCATAAAAGAGAAAACCATGGCTGCCTCCGATCCCGCCCTCAACAGATGGCATGCTCGTCGCCTTCGCTCTCGAAAAGGGAATAAAATAACTTGAAGCGGTGTGGTATCGTCACGTCATTGGACGCTGAAAACTGAGAATGCCTCCCCCTCCCTACACCAAACAATGCAGCCACCTGATGACGGACGGACGAGTCCTTTCGCAAGTGGCAACCAACTAAGAGAAGAAAAAGTCGTGTGTCGAGGCCAATCGCCGAGCTGCCTCAATTCCATAAACTCCGAAACACCAGGTTGCAATGCCCGCGCGGCGCAGTTCGAACTAGTCGTTTCGATCCTTGACGTTGCTGCGTCGTCGTAACTCATTTGAAGAGACTTCTAAGGTCCAGCAGCCGTTGCCGAGCCGCCTCGCTCTTGTCAAACACCCGGTCTTTTCTGTCCATGCTGAGACTGGCGAGCTTGTTCTTCTTTTCTTGCAACTCCAGCATCTTCTCTTCGAAACTGTTGCGCATAATGTATCGCACCGTGCGGACCGGTCGCTTCTGCCCAAGACGATGGACTCGGTCGATAGCCTGAGCCTCAGCCGCCGGGTTGTATTGAGGCTCCATGACATAGACGTTGTTGCCGGCCGTCAGGTTGAGTCCGAGGCCACCTGCTGTGATTGAGACCAAGATGACATGCACGGAGTCGTCCTCCCTGAAAGTGTCCATCGCCTGCGTACGGGCGACACGAGACATGCTGCCGTCGAGACGTACGTATTTGATTTCCAGCTTGTCGAGCGCCAGCTGAATCAGATCAAGGTGCGACGTCCACGTTGAGAAGACAACGGACTTGTAAGGTGGCTCATGCGGGTTCGCGTCGCTGTCGTCTCTCGACTTGAGGAGGTCTTCGACGAGCGCCCTCGTCTTCGTGTGCGGCCCAGTGTACTTGTCGAAGCCTTTGCGGCCGTTTGTCGTCGTCTTGTCCTTGGCAGGTCCTTCGTGCTCAACCTTGATTCGCGAGCGACGAATATCCACATAAGCAGGCTTGATGATCGTGGAGCAGATGGGACAGGGTCCGACGGCCTGACCGGCTGGCAGCAATCGCTTGGCTTGCTCCTTGACACCTCTAATGCAGGAGCCGCAAATGATGTGGAAGCACGGCGTCATGTATCCGAGAATGTCTTCTTGTCCCTCCGACTCGATGCTAGCGTCGTCATTGGTGCCCAACTTCTTGGAGCAGGAGCTGCAGACATCTGTGTTCGTTTCCTGCATGAGCTCAAACATCTCGTACGCCTTGCGGTCCGACAGCCCGGGCTTCTGGTCTTCATCGTCGCTGTCCAGGTCAATAGCCATGTCAGCAGTCATTCCTTGAAGAGCCTCGAGATCTTCATCGTTGAGAAGATCCTTGCCGTGGGCACAGAGAAGCCGGAGCCGCAAAATGGAACGAAGAATGTGGATGTATGTGTGCCCTCCCAATGCACGCTGCACCCCGTTTCCAGCGAGAACCTTGACTCGGTCCTGGGCGTTCTTTTCAAACAGATCGTAAATCTCGCGCTCCTCCGCCGTGAAGTCGAGCTTGACAATGTGGTCGCTCCGCGGGGGCAGGTTGATCTTGTCCTTCAACCGGCGGAGGGTAACGCTGTCCACCAGCACGCGGAGCTTTGGCACAATCTCCGTGTCACACGCCTTGAACGGGTCCACGATGAAGCGGTTGAACTTGTTCCGATCGTCAAAGGGTCTGAGTCTGATAAACTGGAGCAACGCAGCCAAGTCTTCAAGACGGTTCTGGACGGGGGTTCCGGTGACGGCCCAACGGCGTGCAGCCTGCAGTCGGACAATGGCTTTGAACTGGAGAGTCGCCACCTCACGAATCATGTGAGCCTCGTCGAGCACGATACGGAACCAGCCAATTTCTTCCAACGGGTATTTGCCTCCCTTGCGCTTGCTGCGTGCGCCCAATTCGCTCGACACGGAGCCGTAGGTGGTGATGACCAGGTCGTAGTCTGCCAGCTTATCGGCCTCCCTGGTCCTGTTCGAGCCGTGGTAAATGTAGTAGCTCAGCTCGCCAGGCGCAATGTGCTGCTTGATTTGCTCCTCCCAGTTAGTCACTGTGCTCAGGGGGCAGACCAGCAGAGTTGCTCTTGTGTTCGTGGTGACGCTGGTCAGCGGCAGGGTGCTTGAGGCCGTCGCTTTGCCTCCTGCCTTTTGCGGTGGCATCTCAGGCTGGACCGGAGCGCGGCTGGCCCATTCGCGGGCTTGGTCAAGCGAGCTGGCGATGAGCGAGAGGACACTCAGGGTCTTTCCCAGGCCCATCATGTCGGCAAGGATACCGCCATGGGTATCACTGGGAAGCTGTCGTTCTGCATGACCGGTGATGACGTTGTAGTAAGACTTTTGACCGTTGGGGCCAATGCGTAACTGCCACATGGTACCCTTGGTTCTCTCCTCGGCACTCGATGTCTTTTCTCTCGATGTCATGAAATACAGTCCCTGCTTCTGGTGCTTGAGCAGCGGAGTGGTGATGACGGCGGCTGGATCAAGCTCTGGGAGCTCATCACTGTTACCCATCGAATCAAACACGCCCATGACGTCTGAGCGGATCTCCTCCACGGTCCGCGGGGTCGGGTTCGTGTAGTAGGTGGTGGACGTCTGGGGGTTGTAGTGGGCAAGTGCTCCCGAGAGGGACCTAGGGGCGTTTCCGGCCGCCGGCTTCGGGGCCTCGGCATGGACGTTCTCGTATCGTATGCCCTTGTCGACTCTGTTAGGGTGACGAAGGATAATGTTGTGTCTCTGAAAGTGCTTGCCGATGGCTTTGGCGAACTTGTACTGGCCGTAAAGCGTCATCTCCACAGGGTAGGATCGCGATATGGGCTGGCCCGGTTGCTCGTCAGGCTGCTTCCGACGCCCTGGGATCTTGCAGTCGGTCCTGAGACTGACGTTGGAGTCCAGCAACGGGACGAGCGCAGTAGCAGTGGCCGCGTCCACGTTTCCAATAATCTCTCGAGTATGGTCGTACGCCTGGATTCGCTTGGTCGATTCACCCAGGATTCTCTTCAGAACGATCTTGACCGGCGCCGTGTAGTCCGCTCCAAAGATACTCTGCGCTCCGGGCTTCGCGGATGGTACCCTATGGCAGTCGAGGTGACCGGACAACATGCCGTAGCAGACCTCTTCGTTACCGGGGTTCGCGACCATGACAACGTCGTCGTCACCTCCTGTCAAATCCACGGTCTGTGTGGACGCCTGTGGACCTTCCTTCTTGCCCTCGTCTTGCTTTTCCTTCACATATGCGCCAAGCATGCCGCTGCCCCCACCTGCCATGGTCTTCTTGTTGCTGTCCGCGTCAGACTCGGGGGTGTCGACTTTTCTGCGCTTGGGTTGGGGAGCTGCAGCGCGGTCTTGAACATGGTTCATCCGCTCAATGACGCTGCCCACTCCGTAGGGCGAAGCGCCGCCGTCGAGGACGGGTGTCGACGCGCCCGAAGCCATGCTGGGCGTCAAAGATTCGCTGGGCGTGTCATTCGGACTCGCGAATTGGAACACCATCGCGTTGTTTGCGTTGTGATTCATCGGGGCGGCTCGCGTCGCTAGAGTTTGTGGTTTTGGGGAGTTTCGTCTCGCGGTCGAGGTCGAAGACGCATACGAACGAGGGGCTAGCAAGGCTTGCGCGTTCCACGTTTGCGGCTGGGGGTTGGTGGCCAAGCTGGCTCGGCCTGGAGGGGGAGATCTTGTCAGTATTACCCCGCTCTCTGTGTGCCTGGGAAGGTCGAAGGCTATGGGAGATATTGAAGAGGAAGGAGGGGAGGTGCTGTGGTCGAAGGCAAGAGGCAGGGACTCACCGTTTGGTCTGTTTGGAGACGCCATGGCGACGACTTGTCACCAGGCAGGTGCCAAGCCTCGAGGATCGGTGGGTTCTGGAGGCCTCACACCAGTAGGCTTCGTATTATAGGCAGTCTGGACGGAGTTGTTGCGATCATCACAGACGAGAGATATGTAGAAGGTATTTTATATCACTCTGGCGGCGGGGTTGAAAGCACTGAGGTCCTGAGTGTGTGGCTGAGATGGAGAAAGATTCGGAAAAGAGAGATTGAACTTGGCAATCACAAGACTTCCAGCCAGTGAATGCTGCTGTTTGGAACAGATGGGAAGGAATAGCCGACCACAGCCAGTCAGTCGGGCGAGGCAGGCACAAGGCTGGTGGTAGATTCAGTGTGTTGTGGTGAATACAAGACCGACAAGGTATCCAGGCGGGGAGTCACAACCGGGGTGTGAGTCGTTCTCGAAGTCGTTATCGTCACTCTTTAGGTAGAGAGATGAGAGCGCAAAGCCAAAGGTCGTGATTGGGGCGCAAAGGGGGAACGAGGTCGAAAGTCGTCGTCGAGTCGAGTCGACACCAGATCAAAGTGCGCTGACTTCCATGCCGCCGTGTCCCTGCCTTTGATAAGGAAGGGCGAGATGAGGAAGAAAAACTTCCTCCGGTCTGGCGCGAAGGACGGAAAAATCAAATGGTGATGACAATAAGGCAAGCGCCGGTCTAGTGCAGACCCAGGGCAGGAAGGGCGCCGGCGTATTCGCGGAGAGGTGCGGGCTGAGGTGGGTGCTGAGGTATCCGTAGGTAAGTGGTGGTGGAGGTGGTGGTGGTGGTGGTGGTAGGCGCGGCATATGGGATGCGGTGCGGCGTTGGCTGCAGCAGCGCAGCCTTCTTGCAGCTGAGGTCACTCCCTCCGCCTCTTGCAGCGGGGCATCTGCGGTGGAGACAGGCTGGTTCCCGATTCCGATTAGCTATCTGGAAAGTTCATCTTCCTCACGTGGCCATCCTTTTCAGAGGGAGCCTGGTCTGTGCGCCCCACATCAACCCATCTCGGCCCAGCCAACATCCCACTCTCTGTGTCACTCTAGACGACACTATGCGCTCTTAGCACCCGCTTGTCCAAGGCAACCTGTGAAAGTGTGAAAGTCTGAGGGGTCACTTGACCCGTCGACTTTTTCCACACCTCGCTGTCTGGCCCCGACGACTCGTATCGCTCACTCACTGGCTTCTTTGTCTTGTTGCCAAAGTTTGGATTGATCTCCTGAATTCCTATCAATGTGTAACCCAGGGTTGCCGTAATGATACAAAGTTGCAGACACAAGATGCTTTGCACCCTCCGAGAAACCCACATCCGGGCATCGCCTGTAAACGATACATCTGCACTTCCGAACAACCTTCAACAGTCCGTCCCTTGCTAGTTGCATCTCATTGCCCGATCTTCCGAGTCTTACCCACCATTCCCCAGGCCGAGCTGGATATGACCGCCCGTCAAGACATTAAATGATGGCCCCAGGCTGCACACACCCTTCGTTTGGAGACTGCCTATTTTCACCTTGCCTCTGCAACTCTACTCCCCGTGGTCTTAAGAGTTACATGTAACCTCACTGGTAGGTAGCAAGGAGACAGAGACAACTCGCCAAAAGCACAGCAAACGAGGACTGCCTCCTTGCACGGGTTCCGCCGAGTCACATGGTGACTCCGGGAGTCTGGGTGCCTGTCTTGCGTTATCTGAGCTGTCCGAGACACGAGCATCTCCAGAATGCTGCCAGCCCTGTCGCCGCCCTCAGGCCCGTCCGACTAGCGGCGGGATAATTCGTTGCTCATGTTTTTTTTTTTTCGCACACCGCAAAATGCCATGTGAGCAGCATGCTCGACCGGTGGTGCTGCCGTTTTTTTCTGTTTCCCATCTTTTCGGATTCCATATCGTTCGTCTCCAGTCTCGTGATTGACGACGTAATCAGTCCTCGCCGGGCTTGCCCGACTTCTTGAATAGCTCCTGAAACAGCCGAGGGGGCTGCTCCTTGGGCTGAAGCGCATCCTTCGTGTGGGTGCGGCTCCGGCTCCGGGTCCTCTGACGGCGCCTTGGCGGCGGCTGTTGGTGATTGGGCGACCGGGACCTGGAAGGGCTTTGGCTCCGTCGTCGGTCTAGAAGGACGACCCGGAGCAGCCGCTTTCTCGTCGGGGAGACCGAAGGGTTCAGCAGGCCTCGAGAGGACGCCCGAGAGGAGAGCGCCATCGGGGAGGTCGATCGACGGCGGGGACGGCCGCGAAACGTGCTCGACTCGCCCGTGCCGCCGTAGTGGGTCGCCGGCATGTCACTCCTCGTGAGGCTCCGGTGCCTCTTGCGGCCGCGGTGGGCATCTGGGTCGGGCGAGAAAGGCCTCGACGTCACGTCCAGGAATCTGATTCCGGTCTCTAATTGGGCAGCCATGCTGAAAGACTTTTCGGTACAGGGAATAGTATGATTGATGCCAAGGTTTGCAGCTCTGTATTGACAATTTGCCTATTGGTAGACAAAAATACTGTCCGGACGGAGACGGGGGTGAAAGGTGGAGCGGACGAACAGAATATAAAGAGATTTGGAGACTGCCCAGAAAGATGAGGGGGAGCTGAGCACGAGGCCGGCGGAAGGGATTGGCCGATGTGGCAGGAGATGGTCTTGATCGGGATCTTGCAAGACGCCGGGAGGCTTGGTGGTGGGAAGATCAGCCGGGTAGACTGGTTCTTAGTCGTCCGAACCGCAAACGATGATGCTGGACCTGCCACTCGGCAAGGAAGCGGTAGGCTGCGTGCCTGGAATTGGACGTTGGCACGAAAGACCTGCAGATTCCGATGCAAGTCTGTGACAGGATTGGCCGTGGTGATGCAAACGGAATGTTTTCAGCGTGATGGTGCGGAAAGACATTGACAGGTCTTCGCAGTCGCCTGATGAATCGAGCCAATTCGCGGGTGGAAGAGACGGACATTCGGTGTGAGTGGGCCCATCTGCGACCCGAGAGCTTGGGGATTCCGGGGCGTGGCAGTGACCTTCTATTCGATGCCTCTCCGAAGGGGAAGAGCTTAGATGAGCTGTGCCTGTTCTGTCCGTGACGGAGGATGGCTGATATTAGATAGTAAGTTGACATTGCCTGTGGTCGCGCATCCCAAAGTCGTCGAGGCCATCTCATCGCCCATACACAACGTGAGCCTCCCTGAGGTATCACGAGCTTTGCCGGTAACATCGGGACGAGCAAGACATTGTGGCACCCTATGCCCCGCCCGCCGCGGCCCCCGTATCTTCCTACCTACCTGGGTATTACCCATCTCAGTCAAAGCGTTTGGCCCGATGCTCCCGCCGCCGGCTGCCTGCCGCGGTGCAGGCCGATCCGGAAAGCGTTTAGCGAATGGCGACCTACCCAAGACCTCTGCCAATGACCGACCAAACGTCGGTCCTACGCGAGCCGTTTCGATACGACTAACAAACGTCCGTTGATGCCAAAAGTCCAGAGACTGCCTCGGACAGGGAGAATGTGTTGGTTAGCAACGTTCATGACTTGGTCCGGTCGGGTAAGATCGGTGGTTTAGACAGCTGTGATTCACGGAGCTTGCTTTCCAACAAGCCATTCAAAAAATTGATGAGAAGCACATCTGGCGTCTTCGCGAGGCGCCTCGAGAGCTCCTCAGAGACTGGCCACTCATTACAGGCCATACTGCCACGAGGTGCAGGTTTGGCAGGGAGAAGGCCGGGTGCCGGGTAGACGCGGTCCGCAGGTGCCTGGAACCTTGGGGCACCTTACCTTACCTACCTTACCTACCGTACCTACCTAGCAGCTAAGTAACTTAGGTAGCACCCAGAGCTACCAACCCGCCTGACGAACAGCTCAAGTGCCCTGTAGCCAACTCAGGTACCTCACAAGGTACCTCGGCGCTTTGCGTTGCACCAGGATGGCAGCAGCACCGGCTGCACCCCAATGACAGCATCGCCGTCCGCCGAAACTTGACGACACACTTTCTCGCCGACGACGACACGACCACGACCACGACGCGACATCTGAGAGACGGCCTCCTTGTGTGTCCCCGACAACCACCTGTCCTTTTGGTGCTTTCTCTGCTCCACCGCCAGACCTGCTGCCTGCTCTCTTTGTTGGCACCACGTTTGTTTCATTTTTTGCTGTATTACTAGTTCTTATCCGCCTCCCTTCCTTCCATAGACTTTGTGTGGCTTCTTCCGTCCTCAGGCCAGGTTTCCGCGCTCCTTTCGCCGCTGTTCTTTTCGCATCGCAACGGTGACACGCTGAATTGCCACGTTCGAGCATTCTCGATTGCGAAATCCACCACAACCCTGCGGTTGCTCCGTAAGCGAGCCTCACGAATTCTCCTCTCGCGACGATAGCCTCCCTTTCCTCGCCCTTCCGCCGACCGACTGCCCGCGATGCCTCGCTCTAGGCCCGCGACGACGGGCTATGAGCGCCTCGCTCAAGCCGACGCGCTCTCCTCCGACTCGGAAGACGACGACCCCTTGACCCAGTCCTACGCCTCCCTCCAGCCGCCGGCCGCCCCTCGCTTTGCCCCCATCACCCAGCCGCGTCCCCGCTCGGGCATGACGACCCCGAAACCCATATCCATAACCGCCTCCGGCCCCTCTGCCAGGCCGAGAAACCGTCGCCGCGGCGGGAGCAACTCCGGCGTTGATCTCAAGGCCATCAACGCCCGCCTCGAGCGCTGGGCCGACGAAATCGCCAGTCGCTTCAAGCGCACCAAACGCGGCAAGGTCGGCGAGGAAGAGCGCCTCGAGATCCACCACTCCGTCTTCCAGGCCCCCGAGGGCGTCAGGCCCATCACACCGGAAGGTCTGGCCGTCGTGCAAGATGTCATGACCAAGTTCGAGTTCGAGGAGATTCTCGGGAGCGTGAAGCAAGCTATTCTCCAGGGCACGCACCCGCGCATGATCTCTCAGGGTAGCTCAGGCAGTTACTTTGCTCGGAATACCGAGGGCAAGGTCGTCGGGGTGTTCAAGCCAAAGGACGAAGAGCCGTACGCAGCGGGCAACCCCAAGTGGAACAAGTGGATTCACAGAAATCTGTTCCCGTGCTGCTTCGGGCGAGCATGGTGAGTTGGCCTTGACTCTGGTTGGATACGGAAAAGCTAACACGTGCAGCCTCATTCCGAACCTCTCATATGTCAGCGAAGCGGCTGCGTATACCCTCGACTGTCAACTTCGCACGCACATGGTCCCGTACACGGACGTTGTATGGCTCTCCTCAAAATCTTTCCACTACCCGTTCTGGGACCGTCGCAACTACTATCGGAAACAGAAGCCCCTTCCAGAAAAGCCGGGAAGCTTCCAGGTGTTCCTCAAAGGCTTCAAGGACGCCAACGTGTTCCTGCGAGAGCACCCTTGGCCAGACCAGTACTGGTCCGGTTTCAGGGCGAATGATCCGCACCGCAAGCGCAGGAGGAGGTGGGCGGACAACTGCCGCCCCAGCAGCGGCGCTGCGTTGGATGACATTGAAAGTGACGACGAAAGCAGGCCGGACGAACTACCTCTCGGGCCCGATAATTTCGTGTGGACCGAAACGCTGAAACAGTCGTTCCGGGAAGAACTGGAGAAGCTCGTCATTTTGGATTACATCATGCGAAACACTGATCGAGGTCTGGACAACTGGATGATCAAGGTGGACTGGAACACGCAACAAGTATCAATCGCCTCGGAGCCGCTTCAGATGCACATGGAGACGGCCCCGTCCGCGGAGGAAGAAGGCCCACGGCCGGTCGACCTGAGCCAGCGACCATCGCCCAATCGCTCCTCGTACCCCTATAAGACGCAGCAGCCCATGCAGGCGTCGAGCCCCTTGCCCAGAACGCAAGACCCTAAGATTATGATCGGTGCCATCGACAACTCACTCTCCTGGCCCTGGAAGCATCCAGACGCATGGCGAAGGTGTGTAGTATACTCCTCCTCTGGATTCCACCTCTCACGGCAGCTTTGCCGGGCGAGGGAGTGAATCCGCGCAGAAGCCGTCATGCTAACGAGATCTTCACGCGCAGCTTCCCCTTCGGATGGCTCTTTCTGCCGGTCGACCTCATTGGCCGGCCATTCTCGCAAAAGACACGGGATCATTTCCTCCCTCTTCTGACGTCGACGCACTGGTGGAGCCAGACGCAATTGGCGCTGAGGAAGGTGTTCCAATTGGATCCCGATTTCCAGGAAAAGATGTTTGCGCGGCAGATCGCCGTCATGAAGGGGCAGGCGTGGAATGTCGTCGAGACGCTCAAGACGCCGGACCACGGTCCACTGGAGCTCACCCGCCGCGCCAAGGTGTGCGTGTGGGACGACCTCGTCGACGTGCCCGTCGCCGTGCCCATGCGGGTGGCCTCTGCTGAGATGATGCGTCACGAGGCAGAGCTTCGCCGTTCCATTGACGAAGGGGACATTGGCGAGGCCAACGCGTCCAACGCACCTGCACCTGCACACCGCACCGACGAGGATCTGCTCGGCTTCGCCAGCCCGCCGGCCGACATGCCTCACCCGGGTAGGTTCGAGATAGCAATGAGTCCGACGGGCGAGGGCGCCCAGTCTCCCGACGAGATGTCCATGAACGGCTCCGGTATCTTGGCGTCGTCCGCGCCCCTGGGTAAGGAACCGACGGCGCAACGACCCAAGTTTTCAGGCCAGGCACACCGCGAGAGCTATCACGGATCCCGCGCGCTTAACATGTATTCTCCCGCCCGCCAGCAGCAGTCACAGCAGCGACGGTACTCGTTTGCGACGGCGGCGGGACGGCGCAACAGCAGCAGCATCGCGCAGCAGCTGTACGGGGCGCGACCGAGTCACGAATACGACGAACACGACCTTGAAGACGGCGATTTGGGTTACGCTGCGGCGGAGGGGATGGAGGGCAACCAACGCAAGGTTATTGTGGAGAGGCTGGAGCCTGTGAAAGCCAGGAACCCGGTTTTCACCTGCTGGTGATCCACCACGCTTGCATCGAGCAAAACATCCACGGGGGATGGTGGAGAGGGGCCGACACGGAGTCCAAAGAGGAGTTAAGTTGGAGCTAGAATATCGGTTGGTGGGTTTTGCGCTCCGCTCGCTGCGCATGCAAAGGGTGGAGAGAGCGAGCGGTGTTATTACTATTTCTCACTTCTCTTTCACTTCTTCTGTTTTGGGCAACCACCACGCCGAGCACGAATAGGGATGCCTGGAGTTCGTTTGGGACCATTTCGGATCTTGTCTAGAATAGTGACTTGCACGCGCGCATCAGGACGAATCATGTCATCATCATCATCCCCTTGGAAAGAGGCATTGACGGCGTTCTTCTGGCTGGGTGCGGTTCAGGACCTCGTATGAATCCGTCGTACGGGCCGGTCTACTTGGCAGAGACCGAGACGGGGTAGGAGAGAGCGAGAGAGACGATGGGCGTCTGAGGAAGAGACACACACGATATGCATGATATGCGCAAGATAGGCTTGTCAGAAGAAAGAAGGACAACTCAGAGAGAACCCCGGGTAAGAAACAAGGCAAGGGCCCGCGGAGGGGTAATTGTGACGAGGGGTGGAAAGAGAGAGAGAGACAAAAAGAAAAGCAAAGAAAAGGGGTTCTGGGCGGAGGAGAGACCGAGAGAGACAGGAATATTGAAGACATGGGTTATTTGTTATTTTCTTCTTTTCGAGAAGGGTTGGAAAGGCGTACATGCAAAGAGCCTCTTTCGGCGGCTCGAGAAAAGTCCTCCGCCCCTTTGCGTCAATCGGGCAAGGATTTACCAACATCGCAGCCTTGTTGGTCCTGCTCGTCCGGATCCCCAGGGGGGAGAGGGGGGGTTGGTGGTCGCCGACCACCACCAAACTACGGATATTGTACGTGTAATGCATAGTTCCAAAGTACCATAGACACAGCATGAGAAAGGCCCCCTTCCACAGGTTGTCACCACCACACCGGGAGCTGCTGGCAAATGAGAACCAGGTGCGTCATCTTCGGGATCAGTTCGGTGGGAAAGACGTGACCGCTCAAGTCGCACAAGACGGCTGAGCCAATGGTCCCGGGTGGCCGCCGCTATGGCGGCCTTCGCGTGCTTGGTAGACAGCGTCATGACCCGTTGGGAATTGGCGACGGACGGGTATTGTCAATTTGACAACGCGGCGCGTCCGCGGTTGTCCAAAAGAGAACTGGCATATGTCTGTCTGCGATCTGTGCACGCATCAGCGATATTATAGGAGGGTGGGCGTCGGTATTACAACCAAATTCCGTATCGTCGGTAGATCGAAAACGGGATAAAAGAGGAAAAGCCCACCCGGCCGGCCATGACCGCAGTAAAGCCGTGTGCCTGTGTAGGTAATAATGGCTGTTCATCCTGCTGCTGGGTGCGCTTTCATTTGGGACTTTCGGCTCGTAGGACCGGCGCCGCCCTCTCCATCTCGCAAGTGCATGGCCTTCTAGAAGTATTCTCCGTGCCTTGTGAAACGCCAAAACCCGGTCCTGGGAAATGGGTTAGGGCAATTGGTGGGCATGCTGCGGCAGGCAACTCCGCAGCAGCTCCTCCAACAATAAGGGGCGCTGGCCGGGTATCTTTGGAATTGTGGTGGGTTTTGCATGATACCGCTGTACGTTGCTATCTGCACCGTCATGGTCGACTGTCGTCCGTCGCGATAGGGGGGGGCCATTTCAGGGGACGGATGGCATCGACAAAGGGAGATAGGGAGAGAGATGGTGCCCCAGCCTCCCGTCGTAGGGGAACCCGAGGGGACGGTTCTGTTTGAGAGGAAAATGAAGAGGGAGGAACCAGCAGGGTTCGTTCCGACTAGGGTTCCCTGTTGGCGGAGCTGAATGTGACTGCTCATCGACCGCCAACTCATCTCCTTCCCCTCTCTGCATGGGATAAGAAAAGCCGTTGGAAGAGAGAGGAGCTGACCCAATTTCTCTCATATCGGGTAAACAGACTGTCTGTAATAGCCAGGCGCATGGTCCGCACCGTGCAGACGCCGACATGACAAACGGCCACAAGTCGCACAGCTCAGAGGCTCGTTTAAGGTCCGGCAAGAGGGAAAGGAGGCGTAGGAAGCGCATTACACACAGTAGCACGCTGTAAGGAACTGGGTCGAATGCTCCCCTCTGACGTGCAGCATCTCTGACGAGCTAGCATCTTGCCTCGCTTCCTGGCACGAAGGATTGTCCTGAGCCGTCCTCGTTGGAAGGACAGAAACCGTATGGCACCTGGCAGGGAAAGTGACTCTGTGTCGTGTGAATGCTGAGGTAGATTGGTTGCGGCCCCTGTTCCGGATCCTTCTCCGTGGCTGGCTGGCTGGCCGGTCGATTCATACCTGATGATGCACCTGCGTCAACAATGACAATCACCGTTTTTGAAGGCGTCCAATCATGCATCAATCACCACTCGTGAGTAATTCCTTTTGCGGCTCGTGTTAGGGATTGCCGTGAGCAACCCCAGCTGGCTCATTGGTCACTCTCAAGGGAGCATCCGGCCAACCCGTACCCTCCCGTTGGCGACGATACCGTCGTCCCCGAGGAAGGGTTGGCGTGCAGCATTGTGAGACCGTGACCGGCATGGACGTGCGTGTGTGTGGTGCGAGGTACGGCCAACAGCTCCGTGCCTCTTGTTCTGACGTCAAAAGATTACAGGTCGGGGTGGCGCGCAGCCAAACTCAACGGCGAACGGCCGTCGTCTCATGGTGTCTCTCGTCTTTTTACCCGTACATGTATCCGTACAGCAGATTTCGAGTCCGTTGGTGCAAGGGGAGGCCAGGGTGCAGGGCGTACGTGGCTGGCGTGGACAGGCATGGTGTTCCCAAGCACCAGGGCGCGGTCTCTTCGACAAGGAAGGGTTGTCGACAGTCGCTGCTCTGTTCCCAAATAGCTCTGTTCCCAAATAGCTGGAACCAGGAGAGTTTTGTGGCTCGCGTCATCGCGCGCTCTCTCCCGAAGCTCCACCACCCGAGCCAGCGACAACCTGGTCGATAGGTACTTCCGGGTTGGTGGCTACAGCACTTCCTCTCTCTTAGTTTTTGAGCCTGCAGAGCGGCCCGCCGAGGGTTCGCGACTGAACTGGGTCGCCCAATTTCTTCTTCCAACCTTCATCAAACCAACTCCGCACTAGAAGCGTTGTTGGCGCGAACTTGCTGCACCTAGGCATCTCCAAAGCCATACCCCCCGGCCTTATAAGCAACTCTTGCCAGGATGGGATAGGGTCAGCAGAAGGACGTCCACCGCGTAGAAAGCAAAGGGAGTGTGAGGTAATTAAAGCCATCAGCACGCACGCACCCGAATACGCCAACGTGTCAAAATGCAGCGACCGTCGACGCAACCCACAGGCCAAAGACACATACATGCCCCTACCTATATTTTGCAGAGCTTTGCCTGTCTTGTGCATATTGTGCCGCCATCCGACCGAAGCCCTCCCAAAAGAGAGCCTCGGGATGGTGTGGTGCAGGTCTCCAGTTGCAACGACGACAGGCATGTCTGTACTCAGTACAGTGACGATCGATGGCTTCGTTGCGCTGCGTTGTTCGTCTCTCCCCCTCCCGTCTACTGTGCTATGAGATACAGCCCTGGTATGGGTCTCACTGCGCTAGCTTGAGTGCAGATGATTGTCTGCGCGAGTGTGAGAGGATCAGACCATTGACTCCGCCCTTGAGGTTTGTCGGCCGCATATGGTCCCAGCCTGCTTTATGCCAAACAAGACAAGCGACCGACTCAGAGGGCACTCAGCCTGCTTGTCGTACGAGGCAATGGGGAACCGTTTCTGCAAGTCTGTAGTTGTCCGTCCTGCCCGTATGGCTCCGGGACCTTTCCCCTCACCGCGTCTCGCGGCCACGACAGGAACGGCCGACGAGCTACCGCGAAGCTGACGGGCAAGATCCCAAGTCCACGTTCTCGGGAAGCTGTTGCGACGAGGACCAACCGTCTGGCACGAGAGGCCGTCGCGGCGCGGACGATCACCCCTTTCGTGTGACTCGCGGTCCTATCGGGTGTTGTTCGATGCCCCTCTGGTCCAAGTTGGCTTCCCACCTTGCTTCCCTCCTTCGCCGTCTAGACATAAGCCAACGACCGGATCCTTGGGACATGAGAGTCCTCGGACTCGATTATAGCTCCGCGTGCAATGGGTGCAGATCGGCCATGCAACCCCTCCTTTGAGCAACGTTCCCACCCGTGGTCGAGGGAGGAGGGGGGCGGAAGGGGAATAGCCAGGAAACAAGGGATGGCACGTCGTGTTTGCTGAAGAGCTTCCCATTCCCTGGGCGCTGGAGGGTTGTAGCGAGAGGGTGTGTGTGTGTGCTGGGCCCTGTCCTCCGGGTCTGCGGTTGGTCTCAGGAACGGCGTCCACCACTGGGCGTTGTCCTGGGTGTGCATGCGTCGACCGTACATACAGCATACAGGATGAGGGGGATCGGTTTATTCGTCCGACCCCGACGCTTGTATATAACTTCCAACGTAAACAGCGAGTTGGGCCACAGCAGCCCGGTGATGGGCAAGCCCTCGGGTAATTAGTAGGTAGCATGAGTGGCCTTTTTGCAGCCCTGCCGCCGCCCTGTGAGAAGTTGGTATGTCATGGCGTGTCCCGCTAGACGATGACCAGGTCGTCCAAAAAGCAACCGTCTACCTGGAAGCCGGAACAGCTTGTGAAAGCCGCCGCGGTTAACGGAATCCATGGATCTGGCAGCTGGTAAAAGCGGTGTCCAGGATGGTTGGACCCGCTGCCACACCCGCCCTATGCCACTCGAGGGCCTAGGATTAGCACGTCCTGGTTGTCTGCCGGCTCCATTATCGAATTTTCGTACGTACAGGGGGGGTCCGGGGCCAGCAATAACACCAGAAGACATATCCATGTCACCTGAAGTGTGCCTCGTCTGCACCACGAACCAAAGACCGCCGAAACAGGCCTTCTTTGGTTGTAGGTAGTGTGTGTGCTAACCCAGGATCGACAGCAACATCGTGGGGTGTAGAACAAATGCCAGTCCAAT